ACAGAATCAAGAATTTCAAGAATCACCCAGAAAAAACAGAAAGACTGCCCTGACTTTGAAGATCAATATCTCAATGACAATAAGAAATTAGCAAGTGTATAATATATCAAAAGAAAGCCCCAGGAGAGATTTGCAACATAACAAAATTTCATATAAAAACGGCAGTGTATCTGGAGATATAACTCATTCATTGAAACTGGTCACAGAACGGGGAAATCTGGACAAGGTATGATTGCGACGTGATTGCACGTAAATGCGCGTAGGATATAGGTAAGGGTGAGATGGAGTTGTTTTCTTGGTGCTTAGGAGGTGTGAGGCATCGTTGATATTGGATGGGAAAAATGGAAAATTCTTTCGGGATGTTTTTTCAAAAAACTGAAAAACATGTATCAAGGATCAAGAACACAATAAAGAAAGCAAAAAAAATAATTATTATTTTTTTATTTTTTTGATGTATAAGACATGAAAAAAATAGTATGTAAGATAAGAATGATATGTTTTTTTTTATAACCTAAAGAAACAAATTTGCAATGGTTATGATATATGACCTAAGGAACCAAATTTGTAATGATTATGAGATAAACCTAGGCTCTGAATACCAAATTGATATAAACTAAGTCCAAGGTTCAAATAAGATGGAGTATTGTCCCAAGAATGCTCTCAAAGAAAAGATAGAGATATATCAAAATACCTTAGACCTCACGAGAAACCCTTAGTCCCGAATTCTCAAAGACTTAAAAGAATCCCATTGTAGCTTTAAGTACCTCGATGATGCAATCTTCAATCAACTAGAGTCGGATCTAGTTTCCTTCGATTGAAGAATGAGTCCACGAACCTAAATCTAATGTTGAAGAAAGGAAGATTGATTTGAGTCCACGAATCAATTTGCTAGTCGAGTCCACGAACTAGCCACTAATTGAGTCCACAATTAGCCATAAGGTTTCTTACACAAGTGTAAAGAAAAAATTAAGAATTTTATTTAATGAAAGTCTTCTGAAAACATATATGGATGTGACTAATTTATAGGTATAGGGCAACATTGTAATCCTGAACACAATGGGAAAAAGAGTCCTAAACCTAATCTAGAAAGCAAGTAAATATAGTCCTATTTATAAAGGGATTTAAGAAATCCTTTCTAAATACAAACTAGTGTTTTCTCTTTGATGCCAAACAATTTAAAATAATGATGACCAAAAATAATAAGGCTGATTTGGGCCGCATCAGGTCGGGTAGCTTAAACCTGGTTTGGGCCGTATATGCTTGTACTTCAGCCTAGAAGGGAGATGCGGTCAACAGGTTCTCGGTAGCCGACCGATCCCTCTCTTCTATCTTCTGCTGTAATTCCTGAATAGCGCCCACCAGGTCGGCTATCCCGGGGGTAGGTTATTCTTGGAGTAAGAGCGATTCTCCAGTGTCTTGGACGGCCTCTTGTCTGTGCCTCTCAGCTATCCTTCTCTAAATGACTTCCCGCGACGGCTCTCCCTCAGGCCGCTCTCTTCCCCTCCCGACTAATCAAATGGGGGAGCGTTGCCCGGCACAACCTCCCAACCGATCCAAGACCGACTGGGTGGGAGCTATGGGGCCTAGCTGCGAATGCACAAAGTGGGCCGTGCAGGGGTTCCGTTGAGAGCGCCCTTCCGATCGCACCAAGTGCTCTGAAGCTGCGGTGTTAGGGTTGATGGGAAACGATTGTGCCGGTCGCAGATGAGCAATGTGTGGCATCTGGCCTCTCCTGCGCACGTATGCATCAAGGGCTTGTGCCAACAACTCCGAGAGTTGGCTGGGCTTGAGCGACAGGCACTGGGGGGTTGCCTCCTAGGGTTTCGTGGATCGGCACGACAGTTCGCTCGGTATGTGCAACTTACTGTTCACCGGGGGCACGATGGCTCAATTGCTCCTTCAGGTCACATATGGATGCACGACTATCGGCGGGTTGCTCCTCAGCGTTCACGATGACAGTAACATGTCCGTTACCTACCGGAGCGACATCGTTCTGTCCATTATTGCGGTTACTACGTCGTGTTCATGCCATTATCATAGATTAGATGAGACCTTTTGTTTGAATCCCCACAGACGGCGCCAATGTTGGTTTTACGGCCAAGAGGTAGCCATTTGGCAGGCCAACACTACCGTAAAATACTAGGGTTTTGATGGAAACAAAGAAAGATTTGCCCCGAGAGTTCATCGGCATAATGGGATTTTTTCTTGAGGGATCAAAAATCTGACCCTTTACATGGTGACCTTGTGGGGGTATTTATATAAAAGGGAATAAGTGTAACACCCCAGAATTTTACCAACTTTTTGTAACTTAAATTCAGACGATAAACAACTAATCATTAAGGCAAATAACAGCGGAAGCTAAACAAAATCGGAGAGATGTTATACCACACTCATAAACCATGGGTGCAAAGGCTAAAAACTATCAAAATCATCAAGCATCATAAGTCTAGGCACACAGGCCACTAGTCTAGGCACACAGGCCACTAATCTAGGCACACAGGCCAACAAAAAGTAAACGTCTAAACATGGGAGCTACTCTATCTAGCATCCACATCTAGCGCGCTCGACATCTACTCAAAACCTGTAAAACATGGGGATAACACCCGGTCAGCGAATATTGCTGGTAACCCATCAATACGCGTTAAATAACATAGTATAGATAGATATAATCAAAGTTATTTGAAACTGAGGAATACCATATATATCATTTTAAAACCAAGGAAGGAAGTCAACATCAAAGACCATCACACTCTCAATAAGAACGAGGATCATCAACCTCACAACAACAACAAGACCGCAAACATAATAGACAACACAACTCAGGATGCATCCTACCATTCACAAGGTAGAATACATCAAGACATGCTCATAAGCAAGGGAATCACACAATCACATAATGACAATTTCATGTTTCAAGTCACATAATTCCAACCTTATGCCCGTTTCCAACCTTATGGCTACCCCCGGCCTTATCACAGTTCCAACCGTTACCTCATAGTGCCACACTATACTTCTGAGTCCAACCTTTTACCTCCGGGGACCATCACCCCCCCCCCACCTACACCGCCAAACATCACCACTGATCTCTCAGTACACGAGGGTACCATTGAATATCACAATCATAAAACCGCCGATCTCGTGAGCAAAGCTCAAGTAACAAAACCACCAATCTCAATCATGGTCACACATAGTCATCATCATTATCAAGAAGACTAAGGCTCAACAATGACCCCAATCAAGTATTAAAAAAGGGTACAACGATTGCATACGATCACACCACAGGAATCAATCAAGAGATTACAACAAAGACATGAGACCATACTCAACAACAAAGGATTATAATCCAACACCAAATTATTGTCAACACAAGTTTCCAACCCCAATAAGAAGGAACGAACCACACATACTAGCATATTAACATTAAACTAGCATGCTTATCAAACGGGTAAACCAAATTAGTTCCAAAGAACATTCATGACTCACATTATCCCAACGAATCACAAAGTTGGACCCTTAGCACGATTCAAGACACCAAATCCTACATGAAATCCTAACACATCGTTCTAGACATACGAAACATCAATAAGACTCACAATTAGCCCAATAAATCAACAACGGGGGGTCAAAACATCAATATCGGGAAGAAAGAATCACAGGAATCAAATCCCCGCACACATCCACAAGTGTTCCCCGCGGGTGCGGCGGCGGGTAGGCCTTTGCCGGCCGTTCCACCTGCGGGGTACATTCATGTTCAAAAAATCCCTTCGGGGATTTTCATCACAAATTCAAGTTCAAGTCCAAAACACCCAAAATCTCACACACAACAAAGATATGACTTGAACCCAAGAAATAGCCAAGCAATGGAATTCAAGAAACCTAAAAACAAGCTCTAAACATGCATCATCACAAGATCAGGCGTCAAATATCACAATTCATCACAAGAACAACAAGTAGAAGCCAAGAATCGTCATTTATGTAAGAAAATAGGTTTTGTAAAGCATGGGTTACCTTTGTAGACCAACAACCACACTTTTCACCCTCTTAAGCTTCTTCCTAGAGCTCTTCTTCCACACCAACTTCTTACACAAGCCAAAACAGAAGAAAGGTTCTAACTTTAGATAAAGACACCCAAAAGATGACTAAAAACACCAAAAAGCTAAGAACCTGACCCTTTCCTATGCTCAAGAAGAAGGAAGTAGGAATCTTGGTGAAAGATCTTGCAAGACTTGGAGGTTCACCTTCTTTCTTGAAGAATAAGCTAGGTTATTTTAGAGAGACGCTAGAGTGTTTGAGTCTTAGGTTGAAAGGGTGAATGAAATGGAATGTCTTGTTAGGGTAGCTTGAACCACAATTCATAGGTGAAAAGCCATTTTTACCCTTACTAAGGTTGGAAAGACAAGGGGACAAGGGCACAGCTCAAGAAGCACAAGGTACACCCATTTGACTTAAGGGACTAGTCAAAATCTAGTCCCTCGATTATCAAATTTCAGGATTTTTAGAAACGGATTAGCAAAGAAAGTTTGGATTAATTCTTCAATTAATCCTCGATTAGTGTTTAGATTTACGGGGTGTCACATCCTCTCCCCCTAACAAGAAGCTTCGTCCCCGAAGCTTGGGTACGACGGATTCAACGAAAGATAGTAATAACTCAAAGATGCGAAAGAAAGGTAGCAAGATGTTATTGAACAAGGCTCCAAGATCAAAAGATGCAAGGTTTCAAGAATCAAGAAATGCAAGGTTTCAAAGTAACAAAGAAAACTTCTCAAGCAACACCACCACTAACACAACCTTAAGGACAACTATTACCCATCTACACTAATCGTAAGCCAAGAACAAACTAAACTCGAACAAGGCAAAGCAACTAAACAAACAACTCAAACAACAAGCTAACAACCAAGGGAAACAAGAGAGCACACTAAACACACAACTAAACAAGAAACAACCACCAAGCCGGCAAACAAACAAACAAGGAAGGAAATGAGCTTACCCCAAACTCCGGCCTAGGAGGAATCATCCTCCGAGTCCTCGGCATCCTCGGCTCCACCCCGGCTAGAACTAGCTTCCAACCTATCCAGCCTTTGGTTCATAGTGACAAACTGAGCCTTCATGAAGGAGAAACCTTCCTCAATCATCTGATTTTGCTGTCGGAGGAGGGCCACCACACGTTCCTCATGAGTCATGGCATCATGCTCTTTCTTATTCCTCACTTCCTTCCTCCTTAAGCTCTCTTCGCTATCGGGGTCACTTTCCTCGGCTTCTTCTTCTTCTTCTTCTTCTTCTTCTTCTCCCTCTTCTCCCTCATCTTCACCTTCATCATCAGCATCCCCACCAAAACTCTGCACCACCCGATTCAGCTTTCTAACGGGGATCTCAAGCTGCTCAATCAAAGAACTCATCTCGGCAGTGGGTTTCCTTACGAGTTCTTCCAGAGTGATGTAGTCACCATCATCCAACTGAAACAGATTGCAACTCCGGAGGTTCGTGGCATCTAAAACCATCTTGCCCACAGGCTTGGGCACACAACCCTCAACATTCACCCCTTTCCTCACGAAAATCCAACTTAAAACCATACCATAGGGTAGACTTTTGCGGTTATGGTCCCTACAGTAGTCCATATGTTGCAATATCAAGGAAGGAAAGTTGAACTTCACTTTATACTTCAGGCAAAAGGCAAAGGTGCATTCGAATTTACCCAACAAGCTACTTTTGTTATTGTTAGGAAACAAACAATAAGAAACAAGCATTACCAAGATCTTTTACTCGGCAGAAAGCCATTTCCTTTCTAGCCTCGTGGCCTGAGTAAAACCACTTGTCCTTCCCAACAAAAAGCTCAAGTAATTCTGATAGCTCATGTTGCTTGTCTCAATCCAAGAGTTACCACTGTACTGTGAGACTCCAGTGGTCGTCAAACTCAAGAGTTGAGCCAACCGTTTCTCGGTCAAGGAGATTTTCATACCTCCCACCTTAGAGGTGATTTCCAACTTCCCCCCATTCTTGGTCACACTCATGTGACGGTAAAATTCATTCACCAAACTCGGGTAGGTCTCGCTCCTAATTGCAAGATACCTATCCAAAAAACCTTGATAGTTCAACAACTCCAACATAGAACTAGAAAAAGAGCCGGGGTCAAAAGCTTTACCTTCCAAAACCGAGTAATGGGCATCCACCCATTCCGTTCTTCTCGCGGTTTTAGACCTTCTAGGCATGATTATGAGATGTCCAAGACAAGGTAGACCCAAAACTTATACTTTTCCCCCTTGTTCTTTCCTTCTCTTCCTTCTTCTTTTTTTTCGGCTTCATTGAGGTTCCGGCAGGCAGCAGCACGACGGCGACCTTCCGACGACAGTCGGTGATGGCGGTTGGCGGCTGACGAGGGCTGGTCGACGACGGGCAGAGGGGTTTCTCGGCTGTCTCACAGGTAGGAGCGAAGGAAAGAGGGAAGGGTTTTGGCGACAATTTGAGAAAAAAAGATTTTAATTTGGGAAATTTTGGGTAGGTTAAGGGTATAAGTTAAAAAGGAATTTAAGTGGAATAAGGTTTAAGAAATACAATTAGTCTAGATGGTTCATGTAACACCCCGTGTTACGGCCTTCAATCCCGGATTAATTACTTAATTAATTTCGTTAATAATAATTAAAAAAGGATTTAATTTGGTTAGGATTCCCTTTAATTAATTAATGTGGTCCACCATAGATCGTGGACCCTTGCCTAAACTAGAGTCTTAAGCCTATTAGGAATAAAAAGAGTAAACCTTTTACTAGTCAGATTCTAATTAGGAATCCTAGACCTATGTATCTATTAGGAATAAAGAAAGTAGGTCTTTACTATTCAGATTAGGATTAGGATTCTTGATTCTATAAATAGGGGATTAGAAAGCAATTAGAACCCTTACCACCCATAGTTATGTTACAAGAAAATATTCCCGGGAGATTCACCACCACCAAGCCTAGGGAGATCAATCAGATGGAAATCTTAGAGAAGAACCTTAATAGCCAAGGGAGGATTAATTAAGGCTAAGAGGTAACCCATTCTCAACAAAACCTATTTTCCTTGCTATAAATCTTCTTCTTTGGCTCCTTATTCTATACTTGTGTCTTGATGAAATCTCCTATGATAATTGTGATATGATCTTGATAATTGTTGAGATGATTTTATGTGTGATCTTGATGTTCTTGATGATGATAAGATGATCTTGATAATTGTGTGATGTTCTTGATAAATCTGGATTTTTAAAGATAAAGCATGATTTTGTGATTTAAATATGATTAGAGCCCTAGGTTGAATCATGAATTTCGTATTGGGATTTTCTTGACATATTTGGGTGGGAATTCACATGTTCGGGTGTTGATTATGTTTAGAAGTCATGTTAGGATGTGTTCTATGTGATTCTTGCTTTTGATCCGTTAATTGTCCATGTGATGTCGTTATTTGCGTTTAACGGTGTCTAAGCATGGTTTCAGGTTCCACGAAGGATCCCGGGACGTTTATTTTGATAAAGAGTCAGTGGGGGGTAGGTAGGGGTAGGGGGACCCGCCACCTACCCGCTGCCCAAAGAGACGCCGCCGGCAGCAGGCAGCCGACTGGCAGCCGACTGCCCACTTGCCACCCGCTGCCCGGAAGCTGATCGCCGGCGGGCAGCCAGCAGGTGGCCCTCCACCCACCGACTACCCGCTGGTTGTTGCCCATCTCGGGACTTTGGCTTCCCCGTTTGATGTTCCCCAATCCCCGTGGTGTCCCAACGGACTCCGTTTGTCGTGCATGAGTCTAGTTATCTCGTTTATTGCATGCTAGTTGAACCGCTAACCCGTTGGCCTAGGAGGAAGATGTATGAACCCCTTAGGACTATTCTCAGTATGTGGATAATCACGCATACGTTTATTTAAACGCTTTCCCCCTTACCAATGTGCTATTATGTATTACTATGTGTTATGTGAGCATGTTACCCCAATTTGGTTGCGATCAAATTGGTTATTCCTGAGCTGCGGTTCAGAAGTTGGCTGCGGTCAAATTGGTTACTCATGAGCTGCGGTTCATTCTCCTGGCTGCGGTCATTGATTCACTTCTTGGGCTGCGGTCCACCGACTGGACGCGCCAGGCGGTGTGTAGGGCCAATAGCCCGAGGAAGGCCATAGTCCACCGAATGAGTGATCAGGCGGTGTGTAGGGCTATGGTCGGTTGCGATCTACTGAGTGTATGTGCCAGCGGTGTGTAGGGTCGTAGTCCCCGAAGATCATTGCCCACCGAATTAGTCCCTCAGGCGGTGTGTAGGGCTTTGATCGGTTACGACCCACCGACTGAGCTCGTCAAGCGGTGTGTAGGGTCGCAGTCCCCAAAAGAGGATCACAATCCACCGACTGAGCGCGTCAGCGGTGTGTAGGGATTTGATCCGACGTTGAAACTATCGACGGTCTATACGGTTGGTTGCGATCAACCCCTTCATACTGCGGTATGAGGTAGGGTGCTGCGGGGCCGTGTTAGTACTATATGTACTAACCCTCATGTTCGGGGCATGCGATTGGTCCCGTGGCGCCACCAAATTGTGCTTGTGTGACATGAATGTTGACTGAATATTGATGTGAATGATTTGAAAGTGAATTGTGACCTTAGATATGTGTCTTTATGATAGTGTCTCTATATACCTGATTATCATTGTTTCATATGCTTATCCCTACTTGTCGAGTCTATTCTCGGTTTTAAAGCTAGAGTCTCCTAAGTATATATCTTCCTGATTCAAAATGGTTTTCATATATCTATATATATATATATATATATATATATATATATATTTACCTATATTGTATTTCAACGCGTTGGAGTGGGTTACCAGCATCATTCGCTGAACAGATATATTTGGCTTTTAGGCACAGAGGATTAGCTTTCGGAGCGCGCTAGATGGACTTGGATTAGTTAGATAGTTTTTCCATTCGGCCTGTGTGCCATGATGATGTATTGAGGATATTTAGTTAGTTTAGCCTGTGCATCTGAGTTCTCCAGCTCAGATGTGGTATAGCACCCCGCACTCTTATGTTTAGTAATACTCCGTTTTGGGATTTAATGAGAATTTACCTTTACTATATAAGTTTTAAAAGTTTCAAAATTTTGGGGTGTTACAGTTCAAGGGTTGGTTTGGAAACTAGAAGGCTCAGGTTCGAAACTTGCTAGCTATAAAGCTACAAATTAAACTTCTTTTAGCTTTTTAGGCTTAACCTTTTAAAGGGTTCCTAGAAATTAACAATTCTAAACTTTAAGATAACGGTTTAAACTTAAGGTGACAAGAAGGGTGAGGTCCTAATTATATGTATCTCTATAAAACCTCGGAAATAAAACTAAAGTTAACCACTCAAAAGAAACAATCAAACTACAAGGAATAACTCACTCAAAAAGTTAATAAGGAGGATCGCACAAAATGGTACAGAAACAACACGAGAAAGGTACACTCAAGATAAAAGGTAGGCTCAAGAAGGATACTTGTGGACTCCTCCTCCACTAAACCCTCTGCCTCAGCCTGTGACCGGCTCATCACGAACACTCTATCCGAAGGCTTCGTTCCTCCCGAGCCTGGACCGGAATTCCCTCCTAACGGTCCGCTGGGTCTCGTGCTAGGTGGCAAGGCTCTCTAGTTGGATTGGAGGTGGCACTCAAAAGCTTTGTGGCCCCTTTCCCCGCACTTGTAGCACCGAAGTGCATTCCCTTGGCAATCCTTCCCCACGTTGTCCTTCCCACATCTCTTGCATCTGAAAGGCCTCTTTTTTGCTCCACTCTAGATCTGAGTCGATCCTTGAGACGGAGGAGGTGCGGGTCTTGCTCTGAAATCTTGTTTTGGCTCTTGAAACTGTGAGATCCACTTCCTTCACTTCTCTTCTTGGCGAACTCAAAGGATCCCCGTTGAAGCTGTTGCACTCGATACAGATCTTCTGCGCTCAGATAGGCCTCATTAAGCGTCCTTCAAAGCCGACCAGTCGAATCCAGGCTCTTCTTGGCACGCTGGGCCTTCGTGCACCCACCAGAGGTCGGCCTCGTGGCTAAATTAGAACGAAACCAACTCGACGCGGCGATCATCCAGACAACCCACAACAGCGAAGATCTTGTCCAGGGTCCTGATCCACTCTTCAAGCAGCACAGGGTCTTCCTCTCCAGTAAAGACGGGCGGCCTATGCCCCGAAACTAAGCGACCCACGTCTCGATTCTCGGTAGGCGGCGGCGGAGGAGGGTTATTGTTGTGCAAGAGGGCGTCGCTCAAAGTCTGCATTGTTTGGGTCAGATGCTGCAGGTTCTGAGCCAGCTGCTCGTTGCTCGGCGTCTCCGGGGTACGGGCACGATGACGAGGCAGAGCCATGGCGAGACTCTACAGAAACAACACGGTTACAGCAAGACACAAGGAAACTGTGTACCCTTACCCGGCGCTAAAGACAAGAACGCCAAAACTAAACAAGAACAACAGGTTAAACACAACCGACGATAAAGAAACTCACAGCCCACCGCGCGTCCTAATGATCTTAAATCCTACACACTTAGGCACTTAAAGGTCAACTTATGGTCTTAAATCACACTTAACTTCTTAAAGTCTAAC